ATGGACGTAATCTCAGTAACAACTTAATATTGTTATTGGTTCAACTGCTGGACGGTTCGGCAATGGGTGTTAACCAAGCGAAGTGCCATGTAAAATCCATATGTTTTTCCAAGGGTAAGCTCTCCAAACGACTGCGTATTTGAGACTTGTGAGACAAGAATCAACCATGCAGAGATCTTCACTTAAATGATGGCGGCTGGTACAGAAGCCTTTCCCTTTGTTCCTATATGTATGAGTGAGTGAATAAGGTTTTACAGCGATCTTAGCAATATTCCAGCTATATCACAGCAGGGACAACAGAAATGCTTCAGGCATAGTGACCATGTGGGGAATCAAACCATGTGTCCCTGATATAGTTGGAATATTGCTATAAGCGGCTTAAAAGCATACTCAGTCACTCACACATGAATAATATCAAGCCTCACCTGTTGTTAAGCTGCAGTACACGGTTCCTCTCTCTTGCTCTCCGTCTTCAGGCGACATGAACAACACGTCATGGAACTGACACTGTCGGTGTTGCCGTCTGTAAAAGACAGACACGCAAGCTTCGTTCTGGAGACACAGAAATAAACACCGTTTACGACTGTGAACATTGGAAATTTCAGCCGTGGTGTTGTTTGACACAATGACATGGTCAAAATCTTTCCATTTAACTGTAAATGCCGTGTTAATCAAAGCAGGTGTATAGTTCACCAGACAAAGGAAAAGTAGCGTCCGAATCATTGCGTCCTTCTTAACCAGACGCCAGACAACGTGTGGTGATTGGTAGAAGCGATGTGTTATCCTTGGACTCTGTGCGATCGGTGACCCACAATCATAGCATGAATGCATCTTTTGTTGATGTGTTGCCATGGATTTTGTGTCAGTAAAATGAGTTGGTTTTGTGCCTTGTTTTCTAGATATACTTATAGAAACATGTAAGCAAGAAGACAAAGTCATCACTATCCCCCGCAGTGGTAAAATACTCATCATGAATACGTCTCTGAGTTATGACTATGTGATGCTTGTATCAACAACGGACTGCCTGAGTGCTTCCATAGTTTGATGCAGATTTTTAATCTGAAATAAATCAATCTGCACCGTAAAAAGAGCACCGACACTAATTTCAGTCAAAGTCAAACTTGTTGCCACGGAAACGCAAAAAATATCTTATTCAGAAATCCAAAACTACCAAAAGACACCACCAGACCTGTCCGTATGCCAAGTTTGGTGAAGAAATATTGAACGGATTTTATGTTCTGTTCCGGAAAAGAAGAATTTGCACGGACGGACAGACGGACCGAGTCCATTTTAATACCAGTTGCGTGGGATATTGAGAGTATGTGAATAATGTTTAAATAAATACATACATACATACATACATACATACATACATACATACATACATACATACATACATACATACATACATACATACATACATACATACATACATACATACATAATAAATAAATAAATAAATAAACAAATGAATAAATAATCTACACACATTGAAATGTTTAATGAGGTCTTGAATATTGTTACCATTTGTGACCTTGTGTCTCATAACTCTCTTTGAAATTAGAGAGAGTATGCTCGATTGTACCTCATAAGTTGTCAAATGTAGACAGAAGGACCCTGGTGCACCTCTCTAGCTGTAATGACGATAAATGCTTATAAGATAATTTCACACTTGTAAATCACAATCTTGTGAGTCCATGCCAGGCGATATATGCACGACGTCCTGTTGGCATACTGGCAAAAGCACTTGACATTTAATTTTGGTAGCCACCATGACTCTCAAAATAATTGTGGGGCGTTAAAGGCAGACATTTCAGAGACATATTACAATTTTAATAAACATTTCAACCCTGAATGCATGTACCTTTGAAAATGAAACTGGACTGATTAAATATTGAAACAATTGAACAGCCTTTCAATTACACTGCCCCTCTAGGCAGCAATGGGCGATTGGCTGAACTTACTGTGTAACGTCCCGCCAAACGAAAGAATCTAACACATTAATAGTTAACAGGTATGTATCTCTGAAATTGTAAGTATTTGCGTAATCTCTGACGCAGCAATTAGTTTTACTGATTAATTTAATTTGTATATAATGGGTCAAATTTGCATGTCAGGGCGAACCCTGATGGTTGCTCTTCGTGCCAGCTGCCATGTGAATAGCTACATGTACTCAAAGCCGACATGCCCCGTGAAGATCCGGGCTAGGATTGATCTTCATAACGCGATTATTTTATAGACCGCCTCCATATAGATGGAATATTTCTGAGTGCGGCGTTAAACAACAAACAAACAAACAAAGTCCAAAGCTGAGGCAGATTGGCGGGTGTCGGTTCTCCGGCGTTCTTTCACAGCCCGACAACATTCCACAGATGCTCTGACCCGCGAAGCACTAACAATCTCAGTTACTTATGTGAACTTCCAAACCTTAAAAAAATCAGAATCATGTGGACGGGCCTGCACAATGTGAGACAGCGCATTAAAATATACCTTTGTCTCACTTTTGGACACATGTCTCCGAGGATAGTAGATACTGAGCTTTAATTTATTCTTTATATTATACATCTTTCTCTAAACCCCGTCATGAAGGCACGCAGAATATAGAATATACTCAACACGGCTGTGGCAGACTAACGGTAATATCTGCGTAGAAGGTTGATATCTACGTATTACGTATGTGAGCATTTTGTGGTTATGTCGAACCTTGGATAACTATGTATTTACGATGATCCTTGAACTTCTACACAATGGCGTTTGATGGTATATCATTGTCAAGGCCTGAATATGCCTAAAAGGTGATTTTCATTTAACTGTATATACAGATCTAATCGATTTCAGATTAAGAAAGGATATAACACAGTCGTTATTCGGTCAGTGATGAGACTCTTGCTTATGCTAAATACAGTTGATAAAACCATTTATGGTTATAAATATGAAACAGACAAAGAAACATATAGGTAAAACGTTGATGTATTTACACTAGGAATACGTGTTCTAATTATTCATTGATCATGACATTGTTTCGACTTCACACATTATCTTCGTTCCCTTTGTCTCATGAATATAGACGGTACTGGATCTGCAATGAAAGGGTTGAGGAAAGTGTTGCCGCTATAGTTTCAGTGACCAGGAACTGATCAATTGGCTCTAGATGGTTTGACTAAGAAATTAATGTGATTAACTACTTAGAACATACTTGAATTGATCAATGATTAAACATGTTCACAATGAGCTACAGAAAGCGGAATGACAATGTCAACATCAGTAATCAAATTAGAAAGTGAGTAATGATTTTTTAAAAGGTTTCATCCATAGGACTGTGGAGAAAAGGAAGGAGAACCGGACTGTAGCCATTAGAACACCCTGTGCCACCAAGGGACACTCGTAGTAGTAGGGGTCCTTAACAATAGGATCAAGGATACATTCTAAACCCGACCAGTCTGGAGCCAGTGTGACCAGTTGAACAAACAAAAGATACTACAAACAACAAACAACGACAATTTCTTTGGATAGTTTTCTATTCCATACTGAAATTTGAACAAGAAACCTTGACAAGAAAACGACGAGTGCTCCATTAAGTGTGAACAAGTGTTTGCCACTAATGTGGCAATGTCCCCCGCCGCTAAAGAAGAATGACATATTTAAAACATATTTACTTTTTATTTTTTGGTCATATACAAGAAATCACTGCGTAATCCCCTAATGTAGGTTGTAACCAAATTTGAAGAGTTTGGGTACAACAGTTCATGAGATATCGCGTTAACAAGAATCGGGACCTACGTACGTACGGACGCTGCTGAATACGTAGTCCCGCGTTCCGCGTTGCGGCGGAGGACAATAATCCCTTCCAATGCGCACAAACTCGGTAAAATGTGTGCCTGTAAACCACCGTCAAACGTGATGACATCATGTATGTGACCACCGTTCGCACACATCACAAGCACATGCATATGAGTCTTGTGACCTTGGTCAAATAACTTTTGACACAATGTCGTATGAGACTCTCATAAATCCTAGTCAAAAGAACATGTTCAAATTATTTTGATTTCGCCAACCCAAGCAGAAATTCTGATTCATATGCATAAAGAAACAGATCCGCAATGAGGGGAAATGTTTTATCCCCATATTTCACAAAGACGTTTTCAATGAGAAAATCCAGCATTTCAGATATTGCTTTTCTCGGTAAACTTCAAATGACATATGCTTTCATTTTTCACAAATTGTCCTGGACCCCTGGCGATAGATATGTATGTATATCTGTGTTCACCACGTTTGTTTACAAATGCCGCATGGATCAAGGAATACAGTTTTTCCTTAAGTTTGTCATGTCGGATGGTGGTATACAATGTTGAAAAAAGCAAATGTTTTGACAGAACGGAAATCTGTCCGTTTTTGGAAATTGTAAAAATGTAAGTTAATCCATTTTTGAGGTTTTGTGAATCCACATGGTATTAATTCCGCTTGTATCAAAAACTTTCTGTGAATATCGAAAAAATCCTTCCTTGATAGTATAACAGATTATGTTTACTATTTGAGACATGGATTTGGTAGTAAATTTGCTGGAACCAGCAATATATCTCTCCTTGTGTGGATTTGTATGTAGTTTTGGAATCCAGTTCAAATGAGGAACATGTCTTCATGTCGAAGAGTCAAGCCAAACGTTGATGGCACCTTCATTCGTACACATTACCCCAGACAGCACTGACGAAGTCATTATTATAAACTACAGTATAGAGTTTTTATAACTTGCTATCACCATGTCTAGTTAACAGTAAGTATGTACGTAAACACCTTGTTGAACTAATAAAAACATAAACACTGAACATTTTAACAAGGTTACAACTTCAAAAAGATGATGCTCATGTGATAGTCATGAGTTTCAAAGCGGATTCATCCTCTACAGAGTGACATGATATCTTTCTTTGCGAAGTTTTGAAATTCTCTTCAGTAGGTCAAACCACTTCTCGAATTCCAGTAGTTGCTGTCAGTGGTCCAGGATTTCAAAGGTCTTTCTGACAGATGTAGTACTTTGTTTCTGCCCGCTTCCCGTCTCGCCACGAAAATGCATTGTTAAGTTTGCTGGCAAGGAGGTAATCTTTCGTACTTGAAACATTTGTTGGGTTGCCTATAGCCCAGGCAAAGTAGGTCATAGGTCGGCCATCGTGGAATACCCATTGTCCTTCATTTGCCGCATCTGAACCATCTAAGAAGTAGCTACTGGCCATAGCTGCTGAAAGGTTAAAACAATTAAATATTTATAATTCTTTACTTTCGAAAAACGAGGCAGTACTGCAAGGTTAAAACAAATCACTTTCATAATTTCTTTACTTTCGAAAAAGGAGAAACTACTTACTTTTGACAAATGGCCATTAGAGTGTAGCTGGTAGAAACAAAGATAATATCAGCTATGAATCTGTAACTTGGGTGAGGCGCAAAAATACATTCATTTACTCGTTTGCATTACCACCTAATTTCACCTCACTGCGAGAAAACAGTTAGTCCGGGGAAAGGAAGGCAAGGAAGAGGTAGATCCCCTAACATACTTATTACACTGACTTTTCATAAGGGCTTGACGAGCGAACGCTTCAACCACCAGGCTACCCCACCCCTGGTTACTGAGAGGTTACCCGGTTGATATATGTAATCGTATCCAAATTGCAAAGATCTATGCGCGTGATGTCAGTCACTGGATTGTCTACACCAGATCGCCGTCGCATAGCTGGAATATTGCTGAGTGCGGCGTGAAACAAACAACTCACTGACAAATCATTGATATGAGAGATAACCATTGAAATTGAACTTGCGTTGTTTCGCTGGGGCCAACATGTGGACAGTAGCAATTCAGATGAATGTTTCGCTTGTATATTGTACTTTGTAGTTCACAAAGAATGGTCTATGGGGCAGTTCCGCACGTCTCAGTTACTTTCTATGAATATGCAGAAGGTCCTGATTGTATCAAGGATTACAGTTAAATTTTGAGGCTGTGATTAAGTGGAACATTCCATTACACGGAATATTTTAATGTCAAAACAGTACAGAACATTCTTAGTAAAATTCATGTTCATTTAATTTTGTGCCATATGAAATACATGGATCTCATTCATAAATTTTGATGTACAAAGGTATGTATAGATATGGAAATTAATCAAGCATTACGTAATTCATAGACCTATTATGCATGAATTAAGAAAGCAGAGCATTTTCTGAATGATTTATTAACATTTTGCATCTTGATGTACAGTATGTTTTTTGTGTGGAGGTGTACGTGCAACGGCGCACAATGCACGTGAAATGTCATACCCCCAAAATTGTTTAAATCAAGTTTTTACTGATAACATGTCACACTCTCTATTTTCAATTTGGAGTGAATATTCAGAACCATAATTATCATGACACGTAGTGAATTGCCAGATGCTGCAAGGTGGCATATTATTATTATTATGGGAAATGCAGGAATGTCCCTCAGACAAATCCTGACATCATTTCAAGACTTTTGAACAAACACAGGGCTACCGGTTTTAAATCTTCCAAGACCTTGCAGACTCAGGAAAACAACAATTAGAGAGTACAGAGCATTGCTGATCAGTCTGAGGAATTACAGGTGATGCGTCATTAATTTCCACATACATAGTTATGATTATTGACTGAGATTGTTTGTTGCCCTGTCCTCGATGGGGATTGAAGTCTTATAAAGTTATTGCCCCCCTGAGAGAGTACGTAATACCATGTCATTCAAGGTATTTCTTGTGAAGCCCATTTTCTTGTGTCCCCTGCGGTGATGTTGCTGGAATATTGCTAAAAGCGGCGTAAACCCATACTCACTCACTTCAAGGTATTTCTATGTCTGGCACTATTGTTATGAGAGAGTGTTTTTTTGTAATTTGTATACTCAGCAGCAAAAACAACGTCAGTACGAATTCAAAATTAGATAGGCACTGTAATCAAATCATTACAGAAATGGACATAATAAGCGGATCTTGTATTTTTGTGTACAATATCTTGATACATCAATGAATAACTCAGCACAATTTCAACACATTACGTGAACGTTTGCAGTCCATTCAGACTCTTAACTTCAGCATCTAGTGTGACCACCACAGGCGGCAATAACTGCAGCACAGCGTGGAGTGCACCACTCGATTAATGAAGGCCATTGGCACCTGGAACCACACTCTGAGAAAGGCCTGGCGCATTAAATCAGCTGTGTTCGGCCATGGTATGACATTAATCAGTCTCGTCTGAACTTCATCCCAAAGATGTTCAATTGGTTTTAAATCAGGACTAAGGGCTGGCCACTGCATAATGTTGACACCGTTCTGCTGTAGGAAGTCCCGTGTAACTCTGGCAGTATGGGCCCGGGCGTTATCATGCTGGAAAATGTTGTTCAGGTGACGCGCGAAATGTGGTATGACGTGGGGTCTGAGAGCCTGGTTGATGTAGCGCACCGCTGTGATGCCGCCTCCTCTTCCTGGACCAAGGTTCTGAAACCCCACAGGACCCACTCTCTGGTTTAGGCCTATTCCACCCCATACCATGGTGCTTGCACCTCCCCATCAGTCTCTTTCCATAACACATTGGTCTGAGTAACGCTGGCCACGTCGTCGCCATATTCTTGTCCTGCCATCTGCAGTTGATACGCAGTACCGACTCTCATCTGTGAACAGAACAGTTCTCCATTGCCTGTATCGCCAGTTTTGGTGTTGGAGGGCAAACTGTAGACGTTCACGCCGATGACGAGGGGTGAGGATAGGTCCACGGTAAGGTCTACGGCAATGGACGTTCCCGCTGTTAAGACGTCGGCGTACTGTATCAGTACTGATTGGTCTTCCGTGTGTTCCCACTGTCTGGCGTGCTGTTTCGGATGCCTGCATGAAGGGATTCTGTACATGCTGTCGCACAACATGGCGGTCTTGTCTTGTGGTCACCCTTGGTCTGCCAGTACGGGGGCGATCATTTGTGGTGTTGGTGGCCCGGAAACGTTGCTGCAGCCTTTAGATGGTCCGAACGTTGAGCTGGAAGTGATTGGCAACGGCTTGTGCAGAGTGGCCAGCTTCAAGTCTTCCTAGCGCCTGGTTCCTCTGAGCCGTCGTGAGTCGCGGCATCCTGCTGACGTTATAATGTGAATGTTTCAGCCAGGTTTAGGGGTGCATTTTAAAGGGCTGGTCCTTGTGAACAGCACGTGCAGCATGAGCTGCATGAAAAACATGGAGAACACCGTACCATCTCCGAGGTCAGGTTGCGTTTTTGAGACCATTTCCTGGGTTCAATTCTGAGTTTGGGGAGGAATGTCTTTGCTCAGGTAAAATTGGAGATGTCGTCAAAAATATACAATCAAAACATTAAATGAGTTTACAGTTATCCGTTTCTGTTAAGGAAAATTCTAAACTGACGTTTCTTTTGCTGCTTAGTATATTATCATTGATTAGGTGATAGTTATTATGGGTCACAATGTTTAAAGTTTTGAGTGTGGGTTGTGGCTCGCATCTCGCATCATATATGTTCAATGGCAATAGTATTTGTAGCGGTACGCCTTATGAGATAGCGCTTCAGAGTTGCCTCCTTGGCAACTTGTTGACTCGTCATGCTGTGTGTTCCACATGATTCCGTACCGTTCTGAGACGATAATGATGGAGCCTAGCTTTGCTAGAATGTTCGAGAACTGTGTAAGAGCTATATATAGGCTGGTTGTTGTGTTGTGCGACACGGGGCTTATTACATGACTGGATGTATACACATCTCTCTGCCATCATCAAGTTGTTCAACGTGCTTGTCTACTCAACTGCTGTCATTCAATCAGAATATTTGTTCTCACTGTGAATGTCAAGATTCTGGTGAGTTAATGTTTTATATTTGTGACCCGATAGTTTAGATTTGTGACTCAAATGCTTGCTCATTGTTTGTTCAATAAAATATTGAATATTTTAGACTTGTCTGTGTTCTATTTTGCTGGTTCAAAGGGGAATCTTATACCTTTTGTCACGGCAAATTTATTAACCGTAGCACTATTTTGATAGTGGAATACACGTTGTTTAAATGTCTGGCTACATTTGGCAATACTAATACCATGAAGGGATGCTGTAAAACGAGCTGGGGTCCATGCATTTAGCAAAGGCACTGTTAGTCCCAATAACACCTGGTATTGTGATCTACCTTCAGTTGCTGGCAATCTATATGCCATCCAATATATCAAATCGTTTTCCTTAGTGATATCGTTTTATGATAACATGCTAGTTTTAAGTCAGAATCTGTGATACTTGTTTACTATCCGCTAACAGCAGGTTTTTGCATTCGAAATGTATTTCTGTTTAAGACCCGTGAAGGTCCGGGTTAGAATACTGATCTTCAGTAACCCATGCTTGTCGTAAGGGGCAACTAACGGGATCGGGTGGTCAGGCTAGCTGACTTGGTTGACACTTGTCATCGGTTCCCAATTGCGTAGATCGATGCTCATGCTGTTGATCACTGGATTGTCTGATCCAGACTCGATTATTTACAGACCGCCTCCATATAGCTGGTATATTGCTGAGTGCGGCGTAATACTAAACTCACTCACTCACTATTTCTGTTTAATGTAAAGACGCGGTATTGCTGAAATATTGCCGATGTGACGTTAACTCACTCACTCATTGGATGGTACATTGCTGGACTTAAATAGTGCACATAACAATCAGGTGTGATGATGTTGCAACGTTAATATATTTCTGTAGACAGGTAGATAGTGTTCTTCTAGTGAGATTGTTTTTCAAATATTACAGTGACTCCCAGTACAACTAGTGTAACAGCATGTGGGCGGTGGGGTAGCCTTGTTTTTAAAGCGTTCGTTCGTGATAATGCGGGTACAATTTCCCATATGGTCAAATGGTATTCCCTGCCGTGATATTGTTGGAATATTGCTTAAAGCGGCATAAATCACGAATCCGTCACTCACTCACTAACATTATGCATATGTTATTGATTCTGATTAATGGGCCGATACAAAAGCACATGCACAAACCTGATGACGATGTGATCTGCTTGACCATGTGGTCCTGCTTGTCTTCACTGTCAATAACAACAAAGTGTTCCCCTCTTGACGTACAGTCAGCAAGACCGTCGTCGTAGGTGATCTTGTCATGATGAAGCTGGTAGCAGAGGTTCAGGAGGCGATTGTGGACGTAGCCATGTGCACAAGAACCTAGATGAACAAACACAATCAACATCTGATGAGTAAAATACATCACAATTGATTGAAATCAGAGAGTTTTGACCCAGACAGTTTTGAACAGTAGTTCAGTTACTCCAGAGCCTGATCTTTATATTCATTTACATCAACCTGTTTACTGTTTTTCTACCACTTCTCATGATGCTACTGATGTGTACTATTTCAAACTTTACATTAGAACACATCTTGACCAGGACAAAAACGCTTCCGAATAAAAAATGCGCCAAAACCAAAATTATTCTTATTGTATATTCACAAGAAATATCCAATATTAAAATCTGAATATATAATAGGCATGTGTCTGTCAACCATTGTCAAATAGTGATGGTACTAGATAGGCGTTAAAAATGAGCTTCCAAGTAGGTGAGTGAGTGAGTGTGTGAGTTTAGTTTTACGCCGCACTCAGAAATATTCCAGCTATATGGCGGCGGTCTGTAAATAATCGAGTCTGGATCAGACAATCCAGTAATCAACAGCATGAGCATCGATCTGTGCAATTGGGAACCGATGGCATGTGTCAACCAAGTCAGCGAGCCTGACCACCCGATCCCGTTAGTCGCCTCTTACGACAAGCATGGGTTACTGAAGATCAATATTCTAACCCGGACCTTCACGGGTATCCAAGAAGGTGACCTTCGAAGAAGTGAATGTCCAAGGTGTGTTTGTGCCCATGCATGTGAGTCCTCGTTTGTTATGTAATTGAATTCGAGCAGACGGAATGGATATTAATTTTGGTCGTGGGTGATTTGGATTTGGTTTTGTGTAAATCAGTTTGGTATTGTTACTTGAGATACCAATTGGGATTAATTTGTCTCCTCCTTACTGTGACAGTCATGACAAGTTTTTCATGCTTCGATGGCAGTCCTGACATAAAATGGTTGCACTATGATGACCGTGATGAACCAAAGGGTAGTTGTCTATGTCTGGCTCCTGGATATATCTCCGTGTTAAAGTGTATGAGTGAGTGAACAAGGTTTTACACCGATCTTAGCAATGTTTCAGCAGTATCACAACGGTGGCCACCGGAAAGGAGCTTCAGACACTGTGACCATGTCGGGAATCGAACCATGTGTCCCCCGCCCAGATATTGCTGGATTATTACTACCAGCGGCGTAAACCCATACTCAATCAGTCATGAATATTATCAAGTCTCACCTGTTGTTAAGCTGTAGTACACGGTCCCGTTCTCTTGCTCTCCGTCCTCAGGCGACATGAACAACACGTCATGGAACTGACACCGTCGGTGTTGCCGTCTATAAAAGACAGACACGCAAGCTTCGTTCTGGAGACACAGAAGTACACACTCTGTATGACTCGGAATGTTTGAAATTTCAAACTTGAAAGGTTTTGACACAAGAATATGGTCAAAATCTTTCCATTTAACTCCAAATCCTGTATTAATCAAAGCGGGGGTGTGGTTCACCAGACAAAGGAAAAGTAGCTTTCGAATCATAGCGTCCTTCTGAACTAGACGCCAGTCAACGTGTGGAAATTGGTAGAGGCGTTGACTTATGTGCGATCGGTGACCGCCAATCAATGCGTGAATGCATCTATTGTTGATATGTTACCATGGATTTAGTCAATGAAATGAGTGGGTTTAGTGTCTTGATTTCTAGATATACTCAAGGAAACATGTAATGAGAGCGTATGAATGTTATTGAACGTGGCAGACAGTAACATATGATTTCAAGGCATTGCAAGCCTGATAACTAGTAAGCAAGCAAGTAAAATTGCAAACACAGATTGTTGCTGATATTGGTGGATAATTTGAAGGATCCACATCACTCTACGAGGAAGGAAATTTCCACGACGTCCACATGTCATAAATTATTTAAAAGAACCTCCAAACATGACTTTGTTGAGTGTTTCAGGTGTTGATAGTGTATGTTTTCAGCCCATGCAGCGGTATCGTGAGCTTGTTCAAGAACAGCATGGAGCTCATGAATAGAAGATATTTCATTGTTATCTTCCTCATTATATCCATTGAAATGAATAGTTTTCCTTCTTGCTGATTTTGATTCTTTTGAAATTCAGGTGCATAATTAGATGAGGAAGATCATAGGCGGATCCAGACTGGGTGCAGGGGTACGCACCTCCTGCCCCCCCCACCCCCACGCCTTTGTCCTGAAAGTGTATTAAATGACTATTGAAACTCTCGTGAAAATGACGTGTGCACCCCCTCTTTCTCAAAGAGCTGTATCCGCCCCTGAATATGGTTTGGCCAAAGTTTCACCAAGTTTATTTGCTGTATCAGGTTTATTGGTTAATCAGACTAGGGTCCCTAATATATGTTAAAGGAGATATATTGAATATAACAGGTTTCTTTTATGTTAGATGGTCAAAGTATACTTGTTTACACACAAGAAAAATTCCAAAGTGATTTTACTGTAATCAAAAAAGCAGCAAAAAACTACCCTAAGCCCACAACCAGCGCATATACACTTCGTAATCCCAGTCTCGGCAGAGCTCGGACTGTGACAGTGGAAATACCAGGTACATAACACACCCCTTTTCAAAATTAAGTCAGTCGAAATCATACAAGGGAAGATATGTTAGACACCGAAACTAGAAAAAATGTATTGTACAGTTGTTCGCTTCGGGAACTATTCTTCATAAATAAATGACAAAGGGGAAATATGGCATAAACATTGTTTCATTGGATGTATGTTTATCATCGATCCTTCATGATCAATCTGAGCGAAAAACTGTTAAAGAGATAGACAATAAAATACTTCATTAATTTTTCCATAAAATATATAGTGTGACAAGTATATTGAAAAATAATATTGCCATGTTTATTTCAAATATGTTTGTTTCACCAAATGTTCTGTTTAGTTATTTCTTCGATTGTGTGTTGTTTGTGTGTGTAATAAACGTAGTCAGTGACTAAATAATGAGTGGTTTGGTCAAAACTAATACAGTCACTAACATCAGTTCAATTAGCAGTAAAGTGCTTATTGGCAAATACCAGCCACTAACATCAGTTCAATTATCAGTAAAGTGCATGTTACAAATACCAGCCACTAACATCAGTTCAATTATCAGCAAAGTGCATGTTACAACAACAGTTGATCAACACATATATACTGAGGGAAAAAAATAAGGGATCACATGAAAGCACAAGTGTCCCCTTATTTTTTTCCCGGTTTCTTCACAAGCTATATATCACATATTGTTCATAGCTTGTGAAGAAACCGGGAAAAAAATAAGGGAACGTGTACACATGTGCTTTTATGTACACTTGTGCTTTCATGTGATCCCTTATTATTTTCCCTCAGTATATGATCAACCTGTACATATGTTTATGTGTAATACACACATTCATTTGTTTAGAAGACAGATTTAGCCTAATTCTATGCTAATTGTTTAGACATCACAAGCAATAATATTTTGACAATGGTAAGCTTTAATCTACTCCTTGCACAATTCACAGAAGACAAACAGTAATAAGTATCTTCATGTTATTTAGATACGCTAAGGTAGCGTCTAATATTATTATGTTGATATAACAACATTCCTAAAGTTGCTCTTCATTAGCATGTATGTATGCTAGTATAAAAATGTATAAACATACACTCGATTTGTGAATTACTTTCTGTCTTGAACAGAAGGCACTATTCGGGTTGATTCGGTTTGACAGCCTCTTAATTACAACACTTTCACACACAGTACAACGAACAAGGTTCACATTTGGAATCGCGTCTCAGAGCACATGGTTCAGTGGAATGGCATGTATTCACAACACAATACAAATAGGACTAGGAATGGACATGAAACGGAAAAGGAACATAAAAAGCGAATTAGGATTTATAATCATTCCTGAAACTCTAGGATTATTCCTAACATTTTAGGTCTATCTCTATGTAAGGTGAAATTTGGTTTTACGTCGTGCTTGAGAATATCTCGCTCATATGACGACGTGCATGCGCGTGTATGTGTATGTTCGGATACTTGTACTAGCCCAGACTGAAGCTGGTTTTATAGTGCTAGCCCAATGAGATACCATGCCGCAGTTCAGCATGAATACCCCACTCAGACACATTCTACTGACTCCGAGCCGACCAGTCCTTGTTGTACCCATTAATGCCGAGCGCTAGGCAGGGACCAACAAGTACCATATTTTAACGTCTTTTGGTATGACGCGGTCGGGGATCGAACCCGCGACCTTCCGCTCTCCGGGCGGACGCTCTAACCACTACACCACGGAGGCGGTCCTATCTCTATGTAAGCATAGGTACACACACACACACACACACACACACACGCACGCACGCACACCTCTTTTCATCGACGATTATTTGCATTGGAAGTAAATAATACATGTATAACTTCTAGCCTAAATAGAGTATCGAAATAGAAAACGAATGTTATGTGTTGCAAATTAGAAATGTGTGTCTTTCAGTAGAAACATCAGACTAATACACTTCACTTGATGTATCTGTGCTGCTGTCAAACTTTTCAGCCAACCACGGTCTAAGATTGATATATGCGAATATATTAAGGTAACTGTGCGAACATTCAACACTTTAATTGGTGTTATTGTCTGGTGAGGCCATAACGAACGCTAGTTATCTACCAAACACTCAAGCAGCGAGACAGCTCCCCACAAATGACGTCAGGTCACGTGATGTCACTCATTAATTTTTAGTAGTTAGAAAGTATACGAACTGTAGAAAGCTGCAGACAGTTGAAACCACAAACATTTCTTTAGAATTGGTCTGCTAGAAGTTGTCGATGCGACTCATAAATTCATTAACGTGCATGTTGGAGCCAATGAGCGATATTGTTTTTCAAAATGCACATTGTATATGGAGAAAACAATACCCCAAGGTACCACTGCGGGATACCAGTGATGACAAACGTTCTAATTATCGGCTTTTGAGAGCAAGACATGTTTCTGAAATTGCATTTGTCAGACTCATTAATATTGTATTTCAACCAAACGGTTCCACTTAAACCAGAAAATGGTTTAAAGATATTTTTCTGGAGGCCTGTTTTCCTGATTGCTTCCATGCTTTTACTGTTGTTGTTTTTGCATCATGGGGAATGGATCTTAAAGATAATTGGAACCATGCCCAAATACGTGGAAAGAAAGATATCGTCCCTGAGCCACTTTTCATTAACAGGGTCTATAAGTATTTCTTATAGTTTGTTGTACTTACTACTTTTCCTATACTTATTATGGCATTTGGCCCTGGATGTACATATCTGACATGTCTGAGGGACAGGTGTCATCTGATATGCACCATGACACAATTTACAAAGAAATCAAATTCTTACATGTGTGCTTCTGAATGGCCGTGTTCCTCCGCATGAATTTGTTTAACTTTATTATGTTAAATGAAGGGGTAGAGTGTAAATACGTTGAAACTATTGCTGTTACAGTTTGTGGTGGGTTCCGTCCTCATTTGACTGAATTAGTCTTATATAGTGGTAACATTTCCTTACTCGGTCGTCCCTAGTATGGTGATTTTCCTTCAGTTGTTGGCAATCTATAGCCTGTTTTTATAATGTATTGTCATTTATAGTTAGAATATTTAGATATAATTACTAGTTTTAAACTTATATCTGTGATAATCTAGTTGTTTTACTGTCCTTTGTTGATTGTATATGATAGGTTTTTAATATTTACTTTCAGTTGCTATAGATCGATAATTTGATTTAGTCACGATATGGCTGAAATAATGCCGATGTGACTTAAAATCTTAACTCACTCACTCTTTACACGGTCATGTTTTACTCCCGTTTAGATTAGCACACGAATAACGGCATGATGTATTATCTATTCATACACTGCATTCAACCCTTGAAGATCCGGGTTAGAATTGGTCGTCAGTAACCCATGCTTGTCGTAAGAGGCGACTAACGGGATCGGATGGTCAGGCTCACTGACTTGGTTGACACATGTCATCGTATACCAATTGCATGAATTGATGCTCATGATCACTGGATTGTCTCGTCCAGATTCGATTATTTACAGACCGCCGCCATATAGCTGGAATATCGCTGAGCGCAATGTTAAACAACCAACCAACTAACATTGCATTCAAGCATGATGTTAATATCAATCATTTAGAAATGAGTATAATTAATGTCAAATAGGGAACAACCTAACATTTGAATTATTGAAACATCAAATATATTCTCATTTCAATTTTTAAATGAACCTACCTTAGTGCATGCAGTACAAGGATTTCATTCCAAGAGTTTGTG